AGTAGCGGAGGGGGTTGAGACCGCTGAATGCTCGAAGATCGTTGCAAGTTCCGCAGTGCGGTGGTTGAGTAACCTGAATTTTATTGAAGTACTGAAAAAAACTGAATATTCCAGAATTTTACCCATGTGTAATGTGAAAACATGTAATTTTTTAATTTCTTCCTAATGTTATAAAGTTTAACCTAATCAGGTGTTACATTACAACCTGTTTAAACTTCCAGTGATTTAAATGAATTCTCATCTCTACACTTAACTAGAAATTCCAAACTGTAAGGTAGTAAGACATATGGTAGTATTACTCAAGAGATTTATTAAAAAATTACGACTTGTACTACAAATGAAGTTCAGCAAATCTCACCACTGTTATTTGTGGGGTGTCAGATATGCAAAGATATAAATACGTATGTAAAGTTCAGCGCCCTACTAACCAGGCTGCTTCTAGCTCACGCTAACGAATACAAAAAAAAAAAAAAAAAATACCCATTAAAGGTTCAGATTTACAAAGATGTCCGATTTTAAAGATAAATATTACCACAATTCTCTCTGCAAAATCCGAATTAATTCTGTTTGTCTTTTGTCGCAATAAATAAAAAATAAAAAAGAAATAAAGACAGCGACAGAAAACTTTTCAACATGTCGCCACTAACGCACATTGTTTTTGGTCTGCAAATCGCTCACTATTTAATACCAAATTAATTTGATTTCTCTTTATCGCTGACGGAAGTGATGTGAGGAACAGGAAAGAACAAAAATAAAAAATAATGCTTTAGTTAAAATAAATCTTTCATAGGTAGTAGCCCTCTGGCACTTTCATTAATAAACTATCCACCCGGATAATGAATGAGAAACTAGAAATTTTAAGAATCTGCTTCAATTATTGTTGTAAAGTGAATGATTAAAACGATGTGATAAGTGATTTAATTAAAATGAGTTAACTAAAATCAAAGAACAAATAAAAATTTAATAAAATTTTTAAATGATTTAATTCAATGATGATTGTCAGTGATGACTGTAAAGTCAGTGATGACTAGAATCACTGAAAGCAATGAATCAGAAGAAAATAAGTAACGTTAATTATGCAGTCATTTACCCTCAAAATGATATCTCCCGATATTACATATATCTAGGTGTAACAGGGACTTTCGCATTTAACCAGTTCCAGCTTTTACGAAACGGAACGCGATATGTTTCTATTTCGCAAAACCTAAGCTGAATGAATATGTTTGCACTTCGACTGTAAGTTCTATGCAAGTCAGGGCGAATACTTTTTTTACATTGTTCAATTTATAGTTCTTTGCTTAGACTGAAATGAACGTTTGTATTTCTATGCTTTAAAATCACGCTATGCATATACAAGCAAAGGCAGGATAGAAATGAATTTTCGTTAGATTGTACAGATTTCTTTCGCATGAGAATGAAAACAAGAAAAATACTATCATGAAATAAAAATTACATGGCAACAAATCTTAGACAAACCATTACAAGAGATTGAAGATCTTTATGCGTCAAAAAAAGTACTGCGAAATTGTGATTTAATCCACAAGGCGAGGGAGAAAAGAAGAGTAGAGTTAAAAAATGTAAAAAAGGGAAATCAGTTATTCTTTCACGCTGTATAGCAAAATTAGCGTTAGTGGCGACATGTTGAAAAGTTTTCTGTTGCAGTCTTTATTTCTTTTTTATTTTTTATTTATTGCGACAAAAGACAAACAGAATTCAGAATTACTTCAGGCGTCTTAAATTGCAACTTCAAATAAGATAAGAATTTTTATTTGTAAAAGAACATTCAGAGGAGGTAAGCAGCACTTGGAAGGGAAGAAGCGAACACTTTCCTTCGAAGTAACGAAAATAAAGTGACATTATTCTAGATTCTTTAAGTGGAAAAGTGTTTTAAAAATTAATCTCACCTACTTATCTCAATTACGTACTCTTAAATTTCTATCATTTTAAATCAAACTTACTGTTTACGGAAAAATAAAAGCTCTTCCAGAAAGAATTTCTGTTATTTATTCGCATTTTCGGTACCCATTGCTAATAGATTTAATTTAACTTATCTTTCTATTTTAAAAGTACATGATTTCTCTAACTAAAAGGCTGCTGATACTTAGCAGTACGAGTGCAGTTTACATGTAAATGAAGAAATATTATTTCTACGAAAAGCAATAGTGTTTCGAAAGATTTCCAACAAATTCCTTTGAGGTAAGCTGTGAATTGAGATAAAGTTCTGTTAGGTTCTCTGAAAGCTTTACTCAATCCAATTAACATTATTTTTTATATTGCGCGTGCAGCTAAAACTAAAACATGTAATTTATTACGCAAAGCTTTACGCGGAGCTTTACGCAAAGCTTTAACTCAGGAGCAGTCACATCTTTGGTTTCTCTTCAAGCTACGCATGGAGAAACTCATGAAACCTATTTAAAACAATTCGATCAACTGTCAAGAATATAGCACTTTATGGAAAAGATTTTGATAATTAGTTTTTATGCATAAAAGGCGTATTTCTTGCAGTTATTTGCTTATGTGTCAAGGGCTTGAGTCTTAGCTTAAAGCTCTAGCTTGAATTTTCCATGAAAGTTAAATTTCCCTTAGCACCGTCACATCAGCTTTATCCTACTTTTTTTCAGCCCTTAAGTGTTCTTTGGATACCGTTTTCCTTAGGTTCGTTTTAAAAAACTGAGGCCGGAAATTTCACACTTATTTCATTAAAAAGGATACATTTCATTCCCATTTCTGATTCTTCCCTATGATAAATGAGCAGTAGTTGACTTAAACGTGGGACTGCAGGCTTTGTCCATATGAAGCTTAAATTTATTGATGTTCTTTCCCTATAATACTGGAATTTCTTCTTTAAAAATTGGTTCTAAAGTCTTTTTTTCATAGTGCAGTGAATTAATTTTAGCAATACTTAAGACTTTTCTGAGTTTTAACTGAGTAATAAAATCCTGCAGCTATCATGAATCTCGTTGAGAACATTTCTGTACACTGATAAAGTAATTTCGTACGGTCGTTTCCGTCAGTTGAACAATAGATAACTGATCTTTTTTCATCACGGTCCCTTAAATATATCCATGCCATATCGAATGTTACCACTAATTTCTATTTATCAGCACCTAGGTGTTTCTCATATAGTTTTCTACAATTTGTTTTCTTTGCTTTTCTGTAATATGAACTTTAGGTTTAAACATCTTTTTTGAACTTTTTTTAAATCTTTATGAAGGATTTTATTTACAGTGCCAGAAGACATTCCCACTTTCGACGTAATAGATCTTTGATTCGGTCGGTACTGAGCGCTCTTTTAGGATAAGATACTTCAATTTCTTGATATTTACCTGCGTTCGAACAGGTTTAGGATGCGGCTTTGCAGCCATTGTTTTATTTTTATTTCCCGTCAAATACCTTTTCTTCAATCAAATTTTAAAAGTATCTTTTTTTAAAAAAAAAATGCAATAACCTCAAATTGTACAACACTTTACAATTTGTTGATAGGAATATTTTCTTCAGAAGGTGCATTTACGTGATCTTCGAGCCATCTGTCAAATTAAAGAGCCATTTACGGAATAAATATCTTACTTCGTAGCCAATCAAAAATAAAACAGTAGCAGCTGTTTATATTGAAAATACCAAAACTTTATCTCAAAATGCTAACCAGGAAATTTAATAACACCTTAGAAACCACGAGGAATTATTATTATGTTCAGTACGCCTTTTTCATTCGGCCTCCAAGATCTTTTCGCTTAGTCTAAAGTACATCTTTATGTGGTACTATTATTTTAAATTATTATGTTAATTTCCCCTTCAACACATAATTAAAAAAAAAACAAGTTTCCTTACAATGTTTTAAAACTAACTTCAGGTAATTTTCAGTCACAAGGAATTTCCATAGCCATATTTAACGTTGAAATCAAAGAAAGTATGCAGGTACATACCGCAATTTCTAATAAAAATAAATCTTTACTCTTATGGATCTTTTTTGTTTCATAGTAGAAAAAAGCATCTAAACGTTATTGAAAGGAATCAATCATCTGAGCGAAAATTTATTCCTTATATTTTAAGGGGTTAAAATGCGTTACCATACCTAAACATTCCATCTTATATAACTACACATATATTTATTGCTAACTACCTTCCTAATTTATATTTTTCATCAAAGTATAAAGCTATTATCATTAATTAAGAACAGAAAGTTTCCTACCGCTACTTCGCTCCACCAATAGCAGAGCGGCTAAAGAATGTTGAACACTGGTATTTCGACCCGGGTTCAAACCTAGGCTATTAGGTTGGCTACACAGTTGGTATTCCCCATGTGCAACGTAAATATGAGCCAATTTCATTTAGAAAGTCCTCCAGGAAGGCATCCCTCCAACTAAGCAAATCGCCTTTGTAAATTTTGATACATTAAAATAAGCTAAACTACATTATTTTTCAGAGAGAATACATATAACAATTCCCATTTTATCATACATAAATTTACTTTTTATAATTTTAATCGAGTAATTATTTTAAATGCAGAAAATAATTTTAATTTCTTAATAATCAGCTCAGCAGTATTTAATTATGAAGATCTTAAAATGCATTTTACTTCAGAACAGTTAATTTGAATTTAACAAGCTCAGGCTTATTTTTTAATTTCTTAAAAATGGTCTAAATATTATTTTGAAATATTTATAATCAGATTCATCCAAGAAAAATATGAGTATCAAAATAACGTCTGCAACTCTTCTAAATTATACATTTATCGTTTGTTTGTCTAAATAAACTTCTCCGAGAAATAGAATTCCTTGAAAAAAGTTTGAAACAAAATTTCTTTTTTAACAAAAAAATTATTTTTTTTTTAAAGTAAGAATCATTTGAAAAATGGAAAAAAAATACGCGAATTCAAACTTACCTACAAATTAAAATCAAATTATCAATTTAAAAATTGGCTATTCTTGTTTTATTTAAACCACTTTTCCTCGTTCGCAAATTAATTCTAGGCAAAAATAATTATTTCCAGTGATCCTTACTTAAACTGTCAGTAGTTTCAATGTCAGAAACCTTGAACAAAAAATCAAAGATCCCAGAGTAAGCGAAGAAATATATTTCCCAGTTGGAGACATCTCTCGCAGAGGCTCTTTCCAGCGCAACCGAACTCAAATTCTTACAACCGCCACCCCGACGATATCGAAAGCATATAAAAGGGAGAATTTTTTCTCCCCCCTAACCCATTTCAAGGAATAATATGTATGTAAATTTTTGTCTGACGTTCTTAAAACTTGGCATTGTTCGCGAACTGACATGAACAGCTGGCGTTCGCAATCAAGCTTCCTATTGAAAGTTCTTTTTCTTTATATCGCAACCTACACTTATTTCTAACGGCTAAAATTAGAGCACCTGTGGACAATTATATTTTTTCTTCCTCTTCCTTTCCTTGGCTGCTTTATATTAATTGAAAGGGAACTTCGCTGACTTTTCGGAGCACCTTCATTAATCTTTATAAATTGTTTTACACCCTTCTTCAAAGCAAGAGTTACAGAAATCATTCTTCTTTCTGCACACACTTGAAAATATAATTTCTTACGCTTTTTCTTAAGTATTAGATCTATATAGAATATATATTTGATGCTTACAGCGTGAAGTTTAGGCATTTCTTCAAATATCGTTCGTTTCCAGCTTTCAGCTGACGCAAACTTGAAATTTAAAGTCCACATAAACGTTTCATTTCAGGCTTTTCAAATTTTTACTCATCTAATTTTCTCCTTCCTCAATGCTTTCAGAGAACCCCTGAATTTTAATATAAATTCGTTCCTGCAATGATTGCTTTCGTATTACAAAGACAAACCTTCACAAACTACCTGCGAAGTCACGCCGAGCATTTCTCTTCTAATTGTTGAATTCTATGCTGGCTTAACCCAAAAATCCACCAATCACAGGAAAGCAAACATGAACTGGCATTCAGCCTATGATTTCGTCGAGTCATCTGCACATTCACCTTCTTTAATTATTTTTGGATGATTTGAGACCTATGGAGTAGTGGAGATAACAATAAGAACGTGCGAGATCTAAGTTACAAGGAAGTAGAAAGGAAGATATCTTATTAAATATTGTATTGGGTTATTTGATTATGGCAAAGCACTCGAGGGCTATCTGCCTAAGAGGAGCATTAAATATTCTAACGGTAATATACGAGTATATTATTATGCATTCTTATTGGAATATAAGATTTTTTTCAATAATATCGGGATGATCCCCTGTAGTTTATCCGTGACTACGTTTCATTTGTTATGGTCATACTGTAACCGCTTTCTTCGGAAATTAAATTATTCGAATAATTTTCCCCTCTCGATTTTCGGACGCTAAAATTAGTAAAAAAAAGAGAGGATACGCGAGGAAATATGGTATTTATTGATATAAATACGAACATTTTACGTAGTTCATTGGAAGAATATAGAAATAATTTACCAGTATTTGCTTCTAATGATTATTTACTACTTTGGGCTTAGGCCGAAAGGAGCCCGGTATGGCCCCCATAGGTCATTTCACGTAGTGATTAGGCTTCTTTTGTCATAATGTCTTTTATCTTCGTTCTTTTGTCTTCGTTCTTGAAAAGTTATTTGAATCCAACTTTGTTCTTCAAATAGTTGTTCGCACTGCCAATTCTATTAGATTTCTGTCCAGGTATATTACTTAAGGAGTTAATAAATCTAAGACAATTTTCATCAAATTAACCTGTTAGTATGGAACTTATTCTGTTTAATTTACTAAAGTATGAAACTTATTCTTTTAAATTTACTAAATCTCGGTGATATTTTATTAAACACACTTCATATTTCACTGAGCTTACATGAAAAGCTATATTTTCTATTTACAGGAGCTTCCCACTCATAGCGTTAAAACTGCTTTAAAAAACATTAATTCTATCTCGCTTTGAGAAACTTTGTAACTGAAAGCGCATATTTAGGTCAGCATTTAAGAAAAATCAAACCCCTTTTCTGAAATACCGTGTGTGTATATAAATGAAAATGAAAATCTCATATTGAAGACTTAACAGTAGATTTGGATTGAGAAAGTGTGCAAGTTCTCAACTGAGAACCGGGTTATTTGCTAAATTCGAATGCAATTTTTAAAACCTCGAACAATAAGAAATATTTTGCCACGGCTTAATCTTTTAAACAAGATATTTTTCATGCTGAAAAAATGAGCATGTAAAATTTATATTGAATACTGAACACATTAGGCAACTATTGAACATACGAAATAAAATAAATTATTGAACATGTGAATTTTTCAGGATTGTTGGGTGCCGGCTTCTCGGACTTTTATAGTATCCATTAAAATACAAACACATGTGCAGCAGAAGATATATTTATATATTTGATAAGATAGTAGGTAAAGAACCTACCATCAGACTTGCTACGAATTTGAAGGTGTTAAGGAAAATTAGGATCTCGTTTGTCCATTATGAAGTCAGACTATTATAGATTCGACTGCTCAAGTTGTAGAGACATTAGGATTTTTTTTTTTTTTTTGGAGCAAGAGAGATGAAAAATAGCAAACGCCTTCGCCGGGAATCGAACTACGGACCACTGGAATACCGGCCCAGCGTGCAGAACCACTACACCATGAAGGCCCGCTAGAAAGCGGGAGAAATACCTTATATACTCACCTTTTTAAAGGGCGACTTGGGTCTTTAGGGGACCCAATCGTCAAATCCTGGGTGTTTTATGATCCCCAACCCTTTTAGTTCGGGCGCCACTGTAGAGATATTAGGTATATTTTTGGAAGCAAGAAAGATGAAAAATAGCAACCGCCTTCGCCGGGAATCGAACCACTGACCTCTGGAATACCGTCCCAGTGTACAGAACCACTACACCACGAAGGCACGCTAGGAAAGTGGGAGAAATACCTTATAAAGTGTCCAACTAAACTTAATGAACTATAATAGTCTGTAAAAAAAGCAAAACTTTTATAAAAATCAAATATATATATATATATATATATATTATATATACCTTATCTGAAGATAAATTCTTCATTTCACATAAGAACTGTGAAGGTTTTCTATCACCGAATTCCACTTCAGTTCATAATTTTTGGGTCTTTTGCGTTTTGGTTTCGGCGAAGATTGAAATTAGTCTGTCTTTAATAGCCACGTACTTGTCGACCCTTGTTGGAGGATTGATAAGAATGTCCGACACTTGTTTGCACTGTTTTGCAAAAACATCGAAGCACCAAGAAGGACTTTTGCGATCGTGACGAAATTTGGTATGCTAAAACATCTTAATCGACCATGTAAATTATCAACGTTTCAAGGCAAAAGGACAGGAATTGTAATCATAGCGTGCATTTATACTGCGCAATTCGCAAAGTATAAAACCAGAAAAAGAGGCGGAAAATTTATCTTTTTTTGTTGCTGCAATTGTAATTCCGTAAAAAAGCCATTACGACGATATCCAAGACCTTACAGACACTAAACGACTTCGAACGTGGTCGCATTGTAGGGTTGCGTGAAAGGTGGGTGATCATACCAAGCAACAGCCTGCCACCTGCAGCGTACAGAGACTCCTGTGCAAAGACTTTGGCAGCAATGGTTGCTAGAAGGAAATTGCCGACAAAATGAAGGCTCTGGAAGGCCAAGAAGCACAAATGCGAGGCAAGATAGGATGATTGTTCGCCAGGCCCAAACCGACCCAACGGTATCATTGTCGACTATTCAACGCCTTACAGCCAAGTCTGTAGGTGCGTCCAAGGCTGGTGGACGGTACCTACCGTGGAACTGTCAACCATCTCACGGCGTTTGTCTGAAGCGAGGTTACCCTCACAGAGGCCTTTAAGGCTGCTATCACACGTCGGTTTGTTTCGGAAGAACAACTGTTTGGAACAATTTTTCTGCTTTGTCACAACAGCCAATCACTACAGATCGCTTTGGGGATTAACACAGAGGAAACTTTTCCCCCATTGCTAACAAGCTGATAGCATTCGAAGCTGATGGCTGATTGGTTGAAAGCGAACAACTTGCAATTTTTTTCTAAAGGAAGGAAGAAGTCTCACTTCTTTCTTTCAATAGTAAACCAGGCAGAATAATTGTCCGAAACAGATGTTCGTGTGAAACAAACGCCGTTTGATATGGGCCTAAGACGTTTCCCTTTGACCCCACAACATCGGCGGAATCGCAGCCATCATCATGGTTGCCAACAGACCGGCATCGTATAGTGTTCAGCGATGAATTCCGCTTCACTCTTGAAGCAGATGACCACCGTGTTCGTGTTTGGAGAGGACGGGGCCAGAGGTCCCAATCAGCCTTTGTTTTACAAAGGCATACAGTTGTAACCTCTAGTGTGATGGTGTGGAGCACTATTTCTTATGATAGCAGGTCTACTTTAGTCATCCTCCGTACATCTTTAACAGCTCAACGATACGTTGATACTATCCTGCGGCCGGTTGCATTATCCTTCATGGCACGTCCTCCTGGGGCCATTTTCCAACAAGATAATGCCAGGCCACATACCGCTCGCATATCTCTGGACTGTGTTCGTGAGGTTGGTACTCTTCCTTGACCAGCAAGGTCATCATACCTTTCACCAATCGAGCATGTCTGGAACATGGTAGACCGCCAGATTCGGGTACCACAAAATATCGGTAATCTGGAGCGACAACTGATGAATGCCTGGCAGAATGTATCGCAGGATGACATTAGGAACCTCTACCTCTCCATGCCTCGACGAATTCAAGTATGCTTCGCCGCCAGGGGCAATTCAACCAACTACTAATTTAAGAACTCAATGGATGATTGTGAGCCGTGAACAGGTACTACGACCTTGATTTTTTAATCATTTTATTACCTGTATATGAGCTATACACATATTCAATTTCATCAAAAACAACCACTTCCTTCATCGTGCTTCGATTTTTTTGCAAAAGAGTGTATTTCAGCGTCATTGGAACTCACAACATAATCTTATTTTGTTTGATCTGTCGTAATTGCAGTATTTCAAAACTGAGCTTCCAATTGGAGAAACCGTATCTTTGTTTTTAAAACGCTGGAGCTTTAATGCTAACTCTAGCGATTGATGTCGAATTTTCGCTTTTGTTTTCGCCTTAGTTTTCCATTTTCGATTCTTGAGTATCACGTTCAAAAGTGACCAATGAAGTGGATATTTTATGTTAATCTTTTACTCGTAATAAACTTTAAACTCTT